GTGTGGTTTCATAATCATGCCAACATAAGGTAAAAACCTTTCTACCGGCGCAGAGCTAGGCAAGCAGGTATTATATTTCAAGAATAACATCTTTACTGTAGGGTATTTATTTTATGCAAGCAAGTAGCAAGTACAAAGAGGAGACGGCATAATCAACTGTGATTTTAAGTAGGTCCTGACGTCATCATAGTGGGCATAGCTTTAGTTAGTATACTGTCAGCATTCGTCCTGTGTGCTTATGTGTTGAAAATCACAAATTGGTGTATTTTCGTAGTTTTAAGAAGAAAAGGATGAATTGTTGTGTTTTATCATGTAAAAACTACTCAGATAGACACTCTGATGCTATGGATGGCATCACATTTCATTGGTAATTAATTTTACACCTAATTTATTAAAATAGTTCTAGGAAAAATCTCTGCGCCGGCTTTCAAATATAATTAAATACATTCGACACTAGATAGCGACACTATGTCATGTGAAATAAAAATATAAAGGTTCATAGAGTTCAGTATTGGTAAATAGGAAGGTCATAGGAAGGTGCTGAAATTTGTTTTGCATTCAGACAAAGAATTTTTAATTGCCAAAATATTATTTTTATAGTTTATAATCATTTTATGAACAGGCCACCATCTATCGTCAAGGTAGCTAAACTACATTGCAATTAGACATGGGACGAGTACTTTTTTTGGATTCGGTACTCGGCGGATTCGGCCTATTTTTCAGGGTTCGGCAGATCACCGAGTACTAACGGCCGAGTACTTGGTCTTAATTATATCCCAGAGAAAAAAAGACAAAAAGCCAGTTTTTATCATTATTATTATATTAGACACATTAAAACATCAGGAACATGAGAAATAGCAGAAATATTTAGAACGTACATAAGAATCTATAATAGAAATTATTATTACTAATATTTAAGAGTGGAAGTTTGTGATGCAAAGACACTACATTTGCGGCCCTATTTGGGTCTAGTTTGTAAGGGAAATAGTAATGGGCGAAGTACTCTGCCGAGTATTTGGCAGTGTACTTCACCCAGTCTAGGCCGAGTACTCGGCGAATCACTACTCATTCCATGTCTAATTGCAACATCGATATGGAATAATTTGAGTAGTTTTACTATTTATCGGTAGATGTAGATAGTAAAGTGGGCGGGGCTAAACATCCCCTCACCCTGCAAATTGTCATGCGTTGTTACATAGTGAAATCTAATTACCACACCTCCTCTTTGTATTTGCTTCATGTTGCAGGCTGACATCATTATCCTTTAAATATTGCAATGATTCCAGGTCAATGGTGATGTTTGCATTTGCACTATCACTAGCTAGTGAGGTATCTGAATCATCATTGAAGACGTAGTAGGATTCATTTTTTTCTTTCTAGTGTGATGATTGAGGCGTATTATTTACATCTTTATGATCATTTCTAAGTATTCTCACTTTTGCAAGGAACAATTCCTTTAAATGTTATCTATTTCCTTTTGGCATCTATTTTAATTTAAAAAAAGGATATGACACCGATGCCAAAATGCATCTTTAGCTTTAGGATCCTTCAAATTATGAAATTTTCCAAACCTGCTTTCTAATCTTTTTTTATTGTCTCTATCAGTACTCCACAGTATATGGCATTGTCCATTTGTAATGAATGCAAGATTTTTTGTGTTCTCATTAACTCAAGTAGCAGTAGCAGTCATCCATAAAATGTTTCTTTATCTCCCTCCAAGCTTTTGATACCGTCTGCTATGGGTTTTGTACAGTTGGTATATTCAATTAGTATCTTTAAAAACCGACAATCCTAGTTTTTATAAGGTTTCATTTAAAGTTTCCTGAACTTTCAAAAGATCCATAATACAGTTATAATATGAATTCCATCTTGTTGGACATGGACTTGTCGGGATTTCCCATTAGTTTCAAAATATATTTCAGACGCTTTGGGGGACCTGGAACACAAATTCCAAATCGCTTGGTATTTAGCCATAGCTCCATCATGCAGCTTTTTATATGAAATATTTTGAGATCTTCTGAATAATGTCACGAGAGGTAATTAAATGTAATGTGTGAGTGGTACATCTTTCATGGTTAGGCAGTTGATATGTTTCTTCAGGTTTCTGAGATTCAGGTATTTTCTTTAAGAGGAATGTCTCATCATCATCGTCGTCGTGTTCATTATTATTATCATGTTCGCCATCATTTTTATTTACTGAAATGTTTTCTCTATCAGATGGTGAAGAAAAAATTCCATCAGTAGCATCCACTCCAAATTCAGATTTTCCATAAATTTTAAATGTTTTTAACATATTTGAGCCATTATCAGTTACATCTTTTGTTATTTTTGGTACTCTCAAATGATACTTTGTGTGTATGTCAATGATCAGTTCTGCCACTTTGTCAAAGGTATGAGTTCCTTTAAATCTTCTACAAGCAAGAGTAAAACTATTTTTTTCGAATGTGTGAGGATCAATCCAATGAACAGTTATACCTAGGTAACTTCTCCTTGATGATGACCAAACATCTGCTGTCATACACACATAATCAACAGTTTTTAATTTTATTTTTAGATTATCCTTATATTCTGCACACATATCAGCAATTCTCTTGTGTGTGTTTAAATTTATGTGCAAGGGCACATAAATTTTGGTGAGTTTTGTAGTTTTTGAACACCTTCAATTAGAGTCCTAAATGATTTATTTTCGATAATAGATATTGGTGACATTGTATCAATTATGAAATCTGTTTATGCCCAAAAATGGGCATTTTGAGACGGCACCCAATCACCTTCGACTCTGTCGAATCACCCGATGGTGTCGAGGTGAGGTAATGCCGACGGCGTGGGGAGGCGGCCGCGTGCCGCGGGCAGTCGCTCAACGCGCTGGCTGTAGTAGTAGCTCGCTGGCAGCGGTACAGTTAATTAGCATACCTCGGTTGCCGCTGCCGAAGTTTCGCGCGACCGATTTTGGGGTTACGGTCTAGATTCTAGACTTCGCTACGTAATTGTGATTTCGTGAAAACCACCTCCGTTTAGTTTGTCTAGGTTTGAAGTTTTTGACAAGAGGCTTCTATTGTATTTAACTGATTAAAGTAATTTCGTTGGAAAGTAATTGCACCAATTATCTAGTGATGGCGCGTTGAAGTGCATTTTACAATATTTAACTTGCTCGGGGACGTGGAATTTGAAAGCGAATCCTTTATCGAGGGCGTCTCTCGGTTGATTGTTTGGAAATCATCGTTTAATTATACCGTCGCGTTAAGAGCCTTTTGTGTGTTGATTCAGTAGCTAGTTTACGTGTCAGCTAGGTTAATTTTGAATTCTTATTGCGGCGTGGTGTTTAATATCGAACGAAGTAACTTAGTTGTGTTTGTAACGCTGAACCGTGTGACTCATGAAGAGATCGCGTTAGTTCCCTATTTGTAATTTGGTGATAAATGAATCCGGGACATTGAATGTTAAACTTTGAACTACTGGCCGTTACTGTGTCGGGTATCACGTGTTCGATACTACGATGAACGTTGAATTGGTCGAGTTGAAGTTAGTTAAATGTACAATGGAGTTAATAGACTGAAATAGTGACCATGAAGAAAGAAACTGTCCATGGTGGACGCCTGCTGGAGTGATGCAGCATTGTGGGGCAGCATGGAAACCGTCGCGCTGCCAGGTCACCTCAGCTGGGCCAGGTCACCCTCATATACACACCACTAAACACCACTTTACATGCATATACTCTACCTACGGCCTGACCGAGCCTTGGGACGGTCTTAGATTCGGATGCAGGTACGTACCATTTATCTTCCTAGCCTTCTCCTTATTTTGTAGTATGATAGGTCATTATTCCACAAGGTCATTGGGGCCCGTACCCACGGCTGCCCGTCGAAGAGGCTACTATGGGCCCTAGCCAAGGCGAACTTTGCAGGGGCAGCTGTGGGCCGTAACAAAATCTATAACCAAATTGTCTAAATTAATTGACAATGGCAAAGTAGTTGGAAGAGTGCTTTGTAACAGTTTTGTTGAAGTACTTGCACTATTTTCATCAGTGTGTGGGTGCCACATTTTTTCTTTTTGGAGGTTTTGGTTTGGGATTTTAAATTTTCATACTCTGTCAATAGATTACCATGACCTTTTCTCTGAAAAAAAAAAGTAATATCATTATACATTCACACATACACAACCAGAACCAGCTATTGCAGTTTGTTTATTTATATACACCTATTGTCTATGTAATTGTAACAAATAAAAAAATATCAAGTTTGATTAGGAAATAAAATTAATCTGTTAATCGCTTTTATATGATTTAAAAAAATTGTAGTTGAAATTAGACTTCCTTTTAATGTTTTAAAGCATTTCTTGCGAACAGCCGATATATTATTACTCATACTTCCAGCATACTTTTTTATATCTTTAAAACAATGCTTCAATATCAATGGTTTAGAATTATTATAATCCCTGAAACAAAAAAGAAAATATTATGGGGATTAAGAAAAAAAAATACATGTATGCATTTTGCAGTTATAGATAAATCAATGTATTAATTAACCCTTAAATGCATGATAAAAGATTTTTACCCAAAAAAAAAATATTTTGTCTCATAAAGGCATGTCTCACAAGTAACATTTACTGAAAAAAAATAAAATAAAAAAACTATATTAATGGGAACATTTATTTTTTTATAAAAATATTTTTGTATCTTTTTCGATACAGTATGCATTAGCTTTACAAAATAATCATGGTTTTACAAAGTTGAAGAATTGTGAAAATGGGTGAAACAATCTTTGGATTTCTTACTACATAAGTGAACATTGCACTTAGAACATTTAATTATACTTAATAAATTACATGATGGTATCATACATCGACCACGTGTTTCTGTTCTCATGATGTTATGATCCATTTGGTCGAGTCTAACTTCAAGGGGTGGCAAAACTTGGCAAGGTTTCCCTTTTCGCATTTTAAGTGGGGGTTGATCTTCCCTAATTGCACTGGTGCTTGGGCGCCCTCTGTTGTTAGCGGGACTATATTTGCAAAGAGTTTCTGCCAACTCTGATCGAAAGTGCAAGGGTCATGATTTTTTTGTGGTTTCCTTTTTTTTCTTCAACTTTTTTACACAACACCCACGAATTTATTACAGTCAAATCAAGCAGGTGATAGAAGATTCTCATGTACCACTTTCTGCTCTTCATTCGAATCCTATTTCTTCCTAAAAAGGAATCCATGAGGTCTACACCACCCATGTGCATGTTATATTCCCTGATTAGCTTTGGGCACGTGATAAGAATCCTCTTTTTTTTCTTTTTTATCGAATCGTTCGATATTCCCTACGGAACAAGCTCCAACGTATGTCGACGCTAACACAACTTGCTTATTGTCCTTCCAACTTACTGTTGTCATGTCAATGCCTTCAAAATTTGGAACATATTCTTCATAAGACCCTCTTGGAATTGAACTCTTCATAACATCCTGCTTAGTTGGCAACTCGCAAGTTTTTCCCAGTCGGTTTCTTTGAATAGTGCCTAGGGAATGTATACCTTACTTAGCAAGTATACACGTCAATGGCAAAGATGTATAGTAATTGTCAAAGTAGACAATATGATTTCTTTGCCTGGGTACCACACTCAGCAAATTCATAACTGTTTGTCCCACAACTCCCAGGTTTTAATTGTTTGAGGATCCTTCATTAGCTTCTTTCCCAGAGTAGATTATGAATCTATAAGCAAAACCGCCCAAATTGCATAAAACAAACAATTTAAAACCTCATTTGTAGGGTTTGTTGGGGAGATATTGTTTGAGAAAATGTCCAACTTTGGTGGCGCACATCTTTTCATCTATGGATAATCGCTGCTCGATGGTCACGCTAGAGAACTTTTCATTTAAATGGGTGATTATAGGACGTAACTTATGAAGCCTGTCATGCTGCGCGTTGTCTACTGGCAGATGATCATCATTATTATTGAAGTGCAGTAACTTTCGCATTTTCTCAAATTTATTTACTGGCATTGCCTCTTTGATGGGACTGAAGCCAAATTTATTAGACCAATACGACCTTGTGCTCGGATAATGGTAAACAGACAAATATTAAAATACCAAAATATTTGCGAAGTTCACCCACAGTGAATATTTCAGGTATGTCAGGTTGTTTCGGGACAGCATAGCGTGCTGATTCAGTAACAATGTTTTCCATAAACGGATTCGTGAAAAAGTAGGTAAAAAACTGATACGGACTTTGCAGTTCCATTATAGATGAAGGTAACTCTTCAGACCCACCAAATTTGATGTTATTCTCATCAAATAGAAAAGACTGTTTTCTTTACAGTAAATTCCTCAAATTCATGAGAGATTCAGTCGGTTGTGCTTCTACTCGCCCCAACGACTGTGCGCCTTGCACAAGCTGCATCTTGAATCCAGAAAATCTTCTGAATTGTCTTGTCCCGTAAGAACGTTTTCATCGTCCTCTATATAAGCTGCTAAGGCTCCTAGATATGGGTAATAAGGAATATCTTCTCCATCTGACTCTAAATCATCTTCCGAAATGTCACCATTATCCAACCTCCTAAGCATATCCTCTATTTGTTGCTCTGAAAAGCAAAAATATGCATTCAGCTATATCTTAACAACGTAAACGTATAGTTTAGTGTATCTAAAAGCAAGCAAAATCATAAGCAAAACCGTTATGAACAAACAATTGAATTGGGTTTAGGCGAGAATCAAATGCATGCTGTATCGTTTTCGATACAAACATAAAATGCGATATTTTTCACGTAAACACATAAAAGTCGTGCAATTTCAAATGTTTTCAAGTAAATGAAGGACTTACCAGCCATTTTGTGATTTTTATTGGAAAATATTCGACTTATTTTCGTTTTTGCCGCTAGATGAAAAACTCAGTAAAACTGAGTTTTGTTTGAATCTGATTATGCGCACCTCGTTGATGTCCTTAGCACAGACAAGAAAATCATCCTTCAGAAATTACATTGACAAGACATTTTTTTTGTGGGCAATAAGGCAAAGAAACGTGTAAACATTCAGCCTATGCTGTACTTCAAATAAAATCCGGTAAAAAAGATTAGAATGCGATGTATCAATATCGATACAGATGCATTTAAGGGTTAAAGTATTTAACAATCATTGTTTGTTTTGATATGAAAACATAGGTAATTGTATATAAATTGGATTTGGTGGGTCATTCATTTTGTGTACTTACATGTTTTCAAGTTTAATTCACTAAAAAGATGGTTACCAAGTAATTTATTTAGTAGGTTAGGTTAGGTCACCGGTTAACCGAATTTGTGATCAACTTGCAAACAAACTTGAAACAGTTCAAAAATTATTTGGTTCACTTTTTTGGTTTCGTTATTATTTTATTGGAAAGCAAGATAACTTTATTAAAAGTGTAAAAAGAGATCATTCGTTCGTTCGGTTCAATGCATTCCTACCTAAGTGGCCTGCACAAATTACTACTATATCTTTCCTGACAAGAAAACAGATCAATTCAGTGTTGCCATAGTGAGAAAAAAAAGTACCATTTTTGATCACATTAATTATAAATTCTTTGATGTTTACAAAACTTAGCAAAAAGTATTTTTCATTTTGCAAATACAAAATATGTCCTAAAAGGTATTTCAAATAAAATGCTTTTCTAAAAAAAAGTATTTAAATACTAAATACAAAATGGAAATACGTATTTTGTATTTCAAATAATGTTATTTTTAAAATGTCACATCTCTGGTCATATACTTGTTCTTTATATCCTATCCTACCTTAATCTGCAAATCAGACAACTCCATATGTCAAAATTTTACAGTTTACAGTTAAAACTTTCTAATTTCATTACAAATTAGAAATTAAAAAAATTTAGATCCCGTTGGTGTATTATGTTCGTAGCTACTAAATTTCATTGTCAGTTTTATTGAAAATATTATCATTACTAAAATGTAGATGCTATTTTGAGTTATCTGCTTTTCCTACAAAATAAAAGTATAGAATATTCTCGGCGCCGTTACGACCGTACCGTGTTCGGGGGGAGTATGTGAAGTACGGGGGGGTTTCTCACCACCGCGCCTAAAACCGGCACACGCCGATAGCTCGCGACACGATCGCCACCAAATAATTTTGTATTTTTATCATTTAAATATACAATTTTGCCTATCGTGTGAGTCGCCTATTTTATTCATGTTCTCTAATTGAACATAGTGGCGACCGTGACAGGACTAATGCCCGGCTTTCCTTTTATTACAGTAGGGACTGATTTCGCTGGCCCATTTATGATCACGGATCGCAAAGGTCGTGGTTGTAAAATTACAAAATGTTATTTGTGTATTTTCATATGTTTTAGGTATAAGTGCATCCATTTGGAGGCTGTTAGTGAGCTGTCCAAGGATGCTTTTATATTAACTTTAAGACGATTTGTTCACGGAGAGGGCTACCAAAGCAGATATTCTGCGACAATGGTGGAAACTTTGTTGCTGCTTCAAAGGAATTTAAAGAGTTTTTTGAAGTTAATGCCAAAACTATCGCTGATTTTGCCGCTAACGAAGGCGTTGAATTTTGTTTCTCGCCTGTATACGCTCCTCACTTCAATGGTTTGATGGAGGCCGGTGTAAAGTCAGCCAAATTCCTCCTGGCTAGGATATTAGGGACTACGCACCTAACCTATGAGGAATTGTCATCTTTGTTCACACAAATAGAATGCATCCTAAATAGCCGCCCCCTATGTCCATTAAGTTCCTCTCCCACTGACTATTATCCCTTAACTCCGGGCCACTTTTTAATTGGTAGACCACTAAGCTCGCTGCCATCTCCGTGTGTACAATCCGCTAATGCCAATCGTCTCGACAGATTCCAGCGCATCGAGCAGTTTAAGCAACACTTGGCGACGCTGGAGCCACGAGTACATTGCGGAGTTGCAGTTGAGGACGAAGTGGCGCACGAAGTCCAAAGAGAGCCTACAAATTGACGACCTAGTCCTCTTGAAAGAGGAAAACGCTCCACCGCTCTATTGGCGTCTCGGACGTGTAAGAAGACTCTTCACGGGAACTGACGGATTGACACGCGTCGCAGATATAGACACTGCAAGAGGAATTGTGAAGCGCGCCCTAAATAGAATCGTCCTACTACCGAAGCCCGATGAGTTGGAAGATCTTGAAAGCTGTTAAGCTTTCTAGCGCCGGGAGTATTTCGGCGCCGTTACGACAGCACCGACGGTGTTCGCGGGGAGTATGTGAAGTGCGGGGGGGTTTCTCACCACCGCGCCTAAGACCGGCACTCGCCGATAGCTCGCGACACGATCGCCACCAAATAATTTTGTATTTTTATCATTTAATTATACAATTTTGCCTATCGTGTGAGTCGCCTATTTTATTCATGTTCCCTAATTGAACAAATATGGAGTTAGTTGTTTTTACTTAGTATGAAAGTGAAATGAACACAATATTAAGTATTAGGTTATTTATTGTTCGTGAGGGAGGTTTACATAATAATTTTGGTAGTCATCAGGCATGGTATTTTTTGACACTTGTAGATTAAAATACTTTTTATTATTTATTTTTCTGCTTTGGTCATATATTTGCGGTAAATTTTCAAATGGAGTTTGATCCACATTGTTGTTTCTGCGTTGGTTCAACAATGTATATTGGTCTGAGAATCTGAGTTTTTAATAAATTCTTCTGGAAGGATCGCACTTGAGACACTTTGTCAGTTACCTGAAAAAAGATCAACATTATCGTAGCTATTATTACAACAAAACCACGTAGGTACGAGTAAGCTTTTTGATCATATAATAGAAGAAAATCATACAAAATCATATAAAGAACATATAGAAGAAAATGTTATACAGAAGGTGTAAAGGATGCATGCAAGTCATATCCCAGAAGTTATCGAACAGCTTTCTTCTATCCTCTTCAGAAATCAGATGACATTGAGTAACACTTTTGGTTTTTTCCTTACAACTACATCTTGGATTTATACTGTTTCTAGTTCCATAATATTTTATTTCCCTTCATTGTCTACGTATTTTTTTCCGTTTTCTTTAATTTTTTTTTGATTTCGCCATCCCATTCTGCTTTTTTTTTACTTGACATCGTTTTTTTTCTTTTTATAATAGCCTTATCGGATCCAGAATCGGAATCACTGTAATCGACTAGTTTTTTTATTCCCACGTCCATGCCTGCTGAACTGCGGAACTAACTAACTTGAAAGGTTTTCTTCAACTCGAATATTCTCAGCAGTAAATACAATT